CGAGGCTGAGCGCTGAGACGGCCGGTCGGTTAGGGGTCTGGCTAGACCCCTAAGAAAAGAAAAAACGCATGTATAGCCCCCCGAGGTAGAGCGCTGAGGCGGCCGGTCGGTTAAGGGTCAGGGCTAAATGCGACGGCGATTTCTGACGAGAAAAACGCGTGTAGCCCCCCGAGGTCGAGCGCTAAGGCGGCCGGTCGGTTAGGGGCCGGGCTAAATGCGACGGCGATTTCTGACAAGAAAAATGCATGTATAGCCCCCCGAGGCCACGCGCTAAGGCGGCCGGTCGGTTAGGGATCGGGCTAAATGCGACGGCGATTTCTGACGAGAAAAACGCGTGTATAGCCCCCCGAGGCCGAGCGCTAAGGCGGCCGGTCGGTTAGGGGTCGGGCTAAATGCGACGACGATTTCTGACGAGAAAAACGCGTGTATAGCCCCCCGAGGCCGAGCGCTAAGGCGGTCGGTCGGTTAGGGGTCTGACTAAATGCGACGGCGATTTCTGACAAGAAAACGCGTATGGCCCCCCGAGGCGGCCTGTCAGTTTTGTCATCGGTTAGTGAACCGAGATAAAGTTTTGAGCGACTTTGCGGTCAAGACCGGTTAGAGAACCGGGAGAAAGTTTAAGCGACTTTGCGGTCGGCATCGGTTAGAGAACTGGGATAAAGTTTAAGCAAATTTGCGGTCGGCATCGGTTAGAGAACCGGAATAAAGTTTAAGCGACTTTGCGGTCGGCATTGGTTAGAGAACCGGAATAAAGTTTAAGCGACTTTGCAGTCGACATCGGTTAGAGAACTGGAATAAAGTTTAAGCGACTTTGTGATTGGCATCAATTAGACAGGCGTACGTAATTAAGAGTTTTCTCGACACGTCTTGGATAAACACAAGGGTTCTTTGACGACAAGCGGGCGGTCAGGTACAACGGGGTATCGGCCCGCCCGACCGCCAATTACAAAACAAAACGGAAAATACAAATCCGCCGACCGGGTACAGACAATCCTAACTTCTACTCCCGGCAGTCGGTTACAACAAAAAAAAACGTCTAAGAGCCACTAATGACGAAATAATACTAGGTTGTCCAAGTTCCAGGTCCTGTCAATTGGGCGACCGGTGGTAGTTTCCAGTCGGTAAGTCCTTAGGCGTACGACGGCTGCGATGACGTAGGGGCCTTCCAAATTTTGTGCCAGTTTTCCTCTTTCTTGGGGCTAACTGGCCTCACGCTTTCTCAAAACATAGTCGCCCACTTGGAAGTATTGGGGTCGTACCCGGATATCTCGACTTGCTTTTATTTTCTTTTGGTACTTTGTTACTCTTCGGCTTACGATTGCTCTTTTCTTGTTTATACAGTCAAGGTCGAAGGCTCGCGACTGATCATTTTCGTCCTCTTGATAGGTCCCTTCTCTAGAGGTCGGGATCTAGGCTTCGATCGGCAGCCGCGCTTCTGCCCCGTACACGAGAGCGAACGACGTTTCTCCTGTAGCTTCCCTCGGTGTGGTCTGGTATGTCCATAGGATAAATGGTAGTTTGTCTGCCCAAGATCAACTAGAGGAGTGCAGTTTCTTCTTAAGACCATCAAGGATGGTGCGATTCGCATTCTCGACCTGGCCGTTGCTTTGCGGGTAGGCCACCGACGACCAGATATACTTCGTGCCTATAGTGGCCAAGAAATTTTGGAAGTACTGTCCCTTGAACTGTTTACCGTTGTCAGTGACTAACTGAACGGGCACACTAAATCGGGATACCACATTCCGCCAAAGGAAACGGGCGCATTGCTGAGAGGTGATTGTGGCTAGAGGCTCGGTTTCGATCCATTTGGAGAAGTAGTCTATAGCTACGATTATAAACTTCCGTCGGCCAGACAGCTGTGGGAATGGTCCTATAATATCTACCCCCCATCTAGCAAAGGGGGTCGCCGTGCTAATCGGTTGATAAAAGGTGGCAGGCATGCCGGGCATCTTCGCGTAGACTTGGCATGTTTCACATTCTTTTGCCCGTTTGTCGCAATCCAGTTGTATGGATGGCCAGTAGTATCCGATCAGCATGATCCGTCGTGCTAAAGATCGCCCCCCCCCCCCCCCCCCGATGAGCTAAACAAAGGCCTGAATGTAGTTCGGTCATTACCACGTCCGCTTCAAAGTCGGTCAGGCATCTAATCAGAGGTCTTCCATATGATCGCCGATATAGGCGTTCATCGACCACTTGAAACCTCGGCGCCCTTAGCTTCGCCTTTCGGGCGTGCTGCTCGTCCTCCGGGAGCCGACCGTCTTCCAGGTATCCCATGATGTCGGTTATCCAGTTTTCCTCGGTTGGTTCAATGGGCATCACCCCAGGGTGATCAATGCAAGGGGTCGGGATCACTAACACCCGGGCGAGCTTTGAAATGTGTTCTGGGGCATCCTGACTTAATTTTGATAGGATGTCGGCGTTGGCGTTGTCCATTCGGGGAACATGCTTTACAGCATATGCCCGAAAAACATTTAACTTCTCGAGTGCTAGGTCCCGGTACCGACCTAAGCGTTCTCCGTTCACTTCGAATTCATTCAAGACCTGCCCAACGACCAAGGAAGAGTCTGTTCGGGCTTTGATGTAGTCGGCCCCAAGATCACGAGCGTACTGTAAACCTGCAATGAACGCTTCATACTCCGCTTCATTGTTAGTCAGGGAGAAATGGTAAATCAATGCGTAGTATGCTTTGAACCCCTCGGGACTCGTGACAACAACGCCACCTCACGATCCCTTTTTACTACTAGAGCCTTCGGTCGCGACCTCCCACAAAGGGGCTTCTGCGTCGTCCGGCCTCGCTGACGGTACGTCCCGGGCGGTGCACTCAACGACGAAATCCGCCAATGCTTGCCCTTTAATTGATGGTCGAGGCCTGTATTCGATCGCAAACTGCGTTAACATTATCGCCCACTTAACCATGCGTCCGGAAGAGGAAGACGTTCGGAGAACAGCTCCAATGGGTTGGTCGGTCAACACTCGGATTGCGCGTCCTTGGAAATATGGTGTGAGCTTCTTCGCTGCGACGTACAAGGCGAGGACGACCATTTCCAGTCGGGAATACCAGAGTTTGGGGCCTTGGAGTGCGTGGCTAACATAATAAACAAGTCGTTGGATCCTTTCTCGGTCAGTGCGACACAGCACGGCGCTGACAACTCGGTCGGCTACAGTAAGGTACACATCTAAGTCTTCGCCCGGCTCGGGCTTGGAGAGGACAATTGGGGACATCAGGTATTCTTTGAGCTCTCGAATGCCACTTTACAGTCCTCATCCCATGTGAAACCATTTACCTTCCGTAGCGTTCTGAAGAACTGAAGAGCTTTCTCGGCCAATTTGGATAAAAAACGACTGAGGGCGGCAAGTCTGCCGGTCAACTGCTGGACTTCCCGGACGGTGGAGGGGGGTTGCATTTCCAGGATGGCCTTTACTTTGGCGGGGTTGGGTTCGATTCTTCGCTTCGTCATCATGAAGCCTAAAAACTTCCCCGTTTGAACCGCAAAGGTGCACTTGTTTGGGTTCAAACGTAAGCGGTATCTACGCATTATTTCAAAGCACGCTCGAAGGTCCTGATCGTGTTGATACCGATCCACGCTCTTGACCAGCATATCATCGACATATGCCTCTATAGTTCGTCCTAACAGACCGTCAAAGAGCTTGTTCACCATTCTTTGATAGGTGGCCCCCGCGTTCCTGAGGCTGAAAGGCATGACGTGGTAACAATATAGACCATCCGGGGTAACAAATGATGTTTTGCTTTCGTCTTCCTCCGCCATCATCATCTGATGGTAGCCTTGGAAGGCATCCATGAAGCTCATTAGGTCTGCCTCGGCAGTGTCGTCCACCATCTGGTGTATACTCGGCAGTGGGTACGGGTCCAACGGGCAGGCTTGGTTCAAGTTAGTGTAATCGATGCACATTCGCCATGAAGGGGGCTTCGGCACCAGGACGACGTTCGCCACCCAGTCGGGATACACTACCGGTCAGATTGTCTGATCGTTGAAAGAGTCCTGACCTCTCCTTTTACAAAATCCCTCCGGTCAGTGGAGAGATGCCTAGTCTTCTGTTTTATCGGCCGGGCGGTCGGACTAACGACCAAATAGTGGCAGATGATCGCTTGCTCCACACCCGGCATATCCTCAAAGCCCCACGCGAATATATCCGAAAACTCTTGCAACACAGATAAAATCGCGGCCTTAAGCTCAGGGCTTAACCCCCGACCGATCTTGATCGTCCTGTCGGGTTGGCTCTCGTGTAGAGGGATTTCTTCCACTTCTTCCGAGGGTTCACAGGTTTTTGCTTCTTCTCCTCGTCGTTTATCTTAGAGATTGAATTCACTCGGGAGCCACTGGCCTCATTCCGGTTTACAGCTTTTCGGTAACATGTTCTAGCTGATCGCATATCACAGCGCACAACACCGACCCCCGTCGGGGTCGGGAACTTCATGCATAGGTGCGGCATGGATATAATACCTCCGATGGAAATGATAGCTGGTCATCCCAGGATTGCGTTGTGGGCGCATCGCAGGTTAACTACAACGAATTCCATCGTGGTCTTTGTCACTCATGGGAACGCTCCGATCTTGACCGGCAACGCTATCTTGCCTTCCAGGTGAATCGTATCACCAGTGAATCCGGACAGGGGGGTGCTGATCGGGATGAGCTCAATTGGGTCCAAATTTAGCTTTTGGAATACGTCCATATACATGACGTTCACACTACTGTCGGTGTCTATCATGACGCGCTGGACGTCTACACCCATGATGTCGATCGTGACCACTAGAGCTTCTGCACTGCAGTCTCCCCCTCCGGGTATGTCGTTTGGTGTAAATGTGATTGGTTCAAGTTTTTGTCTCTTGTCCCCCGTTTCAGTCCCCTATCAGTCCGATCGGCAGGTGTTCACTCGGACTCTGGCTTTCCTCTGGGCCTCCGAAGATAACGTGGGTTACTTGTTTACTCCCTGGTGGGTGGTTGTCCCGATCACGGTCGGGTTCTTTATCCTTCTTATGTTTACCCAATCGTTTGAAGGGGTTCTTCCACAACGATTTTTTTACCTTCGTCCTTCCTTTCTGTGAACTCCGTCAATTTACTCGATCGTAACAAATCTTCGATTATCTGCCTCAAGGTGATGTATTCCTCCGTGTCGTGGCCCTTGCAACAATGATAATCGCATTGTTTGGTTTTATCTCGACCGTCTCTGAGAGGTTCGGGGAGTTGAATCATATTGCAAGACTGTGCGTGTCGCAAGACATCTACGGCCGGTTTGTTTAGAGAGGTGAAATCTTGCGCCCTGCCTCGACCTCTTCCCAACTGGTCGTTCTGTCGACCCTGTGGCTTCCTACTGGTACCGGCTTCCTGTTGCCATTTGGCCATATTTGCTTCACCCGCATTGGCATAGTTAGTGGCTCGGCGTATGGCCTCATCATAAGTCGTCGGGGGATGAAGGATGAACTCCTGATAAAGGGCACCTGCTCGGAGATTAGAGTGAAGGACATTTATAGCCGTTCGGTCATCGAGCGGTTCCACTTCTCCTATTGCAGCCTTCCACTTGATCAAAAAGTCCGTCAGGGACTCTCCTTCTAGCTGTTTTGCCTTTTCGAGGTACGTGAAGTGCTTTCGTACCACTCGGGAGGTGGCAAACTTGTGTACAAACTTCTTGGCGAGCTCAGCAAAGCACGGGATCGATCCTGGTTCTAAGGTCTTGAACCATTCTGCCGCTCTTCCCATGAGTGTGGAGTAGAACGCCGGACACATCACGACATCGGTCACTCCCATCATCAACGTATTGCCATAGTAAGAGTTAACGTGAGCCTCTGGGTCGGTCTTGCCATCGTAATCTTTGCTCCCCGGGACTCATAAGTCATAAGGGTACGGCGAGCTCATCATGTCCGGCGTAAAAGGGTTTCGTAGCAGAGGTGCTTGGGGCTCTGTTGATCGGTGACCATACTCCTGCCTCCACTTGTTGAACTCGTTGCGGACTTGCTGTAACAGTCCTCTGGCTTCATCTCGCGGATCCTCGCACTCGGCGGCTCGCCTAGCCGCCCTTCTGCTCCAGGAGTTGCTGACTTCAGGCAACCCTTATCGTGGATTGTTCGAGGGGGCGTTCACAGACTCTTCCACCCCCTCTCGAGAACCCATGCGATGTCGCGTCGGTGGCCGGAGGCGAACAAACGCACTAGTTATCTCCCGGACTTCTTCAGTCCTCTGCTCGTGTGCTCCTTCCGATCCCAACCTAGACCTGGCTTGTCGTCTCTCGGATTGGGCACCGCGGAGCTTGGGCACGCCGCGTTGCTGCTGCTGACTGTTCCGGTTCGGGCACATTCGGCACTGGCACTGGCACATATTACGGGTACATGCCCGGGGCCGGTGCGTAGTTATACTGCGGCGCGTAGAACCGTTGCGGGCTTTGCCAGTACGGGTACAAGGGATCAAACATCCTAGGAGGATAAGCCGGATATTGCAGCGGTATCTGTCCCGCCATAGCCGGGAAAGCCGGCCCTTGTTGCACGAAATTGATGGGGTCCGGCGTTGGGCCTCTTCCTGGGAGGTTGTTGAGATCCATCCGTGGATTGATCTGTGGCCGGAGATCCGAGGTGCTCTCCTCAGCCTCCATGTCGTTGCGAAAATCCATGAATGGATACATTTGTATAAAGGATCAGTACCAGTCTTACTAAGTAACTTCTCGTATCGATCCCCACAGACGGCGCCAAAATTATATAGTATATACGGGTCAAAGAACGTAAGCGGGCAAGGTCTGGTGCTCGGACTCCTGAGGATGGGTCGGGAGGTTCCAGTTCAGACAAATGCCCAAAAAGTCCCCTCAAACATGCATTTAATGCTATTTATAGAGGGAAAAGGTGTCAGCCCGGGATTCCGGCATGCCTGCCACGTGGCAGTCATGCACCGGTCACGAGCAAGGCCGGCTAGCTGGCCTCCACGCGGCAAGCAGAGCCTGCAAGGTCTCGGCCCCTGGGACCGTGCCCGGCCGACGAGACGATGACGGTCGTTCGGTCTCACGGCGACCCACGCTTGGGGTAACGCCAGACCGGGTCGGGTCGACCCGAGGGGGCCTATGGGTTGCCCGCGCGTTTCCTAACATCCGGTCTACGACGGTCGTGTAGTCCGGCACCCGAGGGTATAGCCCCATCACTTATTATTAATGATTATTACTAATGACTAGTTTTACATGTACATTGCATGAACACGTTAATGTCCAATGTTTATATTTAAATAAGTATTTCAAAGTATATACTTCAAGGTTATATATGATAAGTTCATACATAGGTAATTAAATATCGAATTTGTTTATTTAAATAGGTAATTCAAAGTATATGAATGCAAGATAAATATGAGATTTATTATAATTGTCATTAAAATAAATATTTGCAACTTTGTAAAATCGATAGTCTAAACAAATACTACTTTTGGTTTGAATTTCTGTAAGTCTTCTTAATTCTCTTTTGTTCAATTGGAGCTGGTCGGGTGTCATCATTATTAATTGTTTGTACAATGGTTCTATCATTTAAAGTCCAAGTGTAGTTGTATTTCTGTTCAACAACTTTTTAGTTAGGTCGCGCAAGTTTGACAATGACATTTGAAAGAGTAAATTTCAAATTTGGTCCAATAACTATTGGAGTCTTGTTAATTGCAATCCACGATTTTTAAAACTGTTAATTTAGTACCTTAACTATTCAATTTTTATCAATTTTGGTCCCTCCGACCAAATTGCCGGTCAAAATTCACCAGAAAATATTAATAAGTAAAACAATGAATGAGAGTATTTTAGTCTTTTCACTTATCTTTTCTTTCTTCTCCATTCTTCTCCAATGCTTCTCCTCTTCTTCTTCTTCTTCTTCTTCTTCTTCTTCTTCTTCTTCAATGAGGGTATTTAAGTCTTTTCACTTATATAACTAAGTTATTTTCTGCTGTATTTAGACCTTTGATGTTTAATAGTAGTATACCATGTTATTAACCTTTGCTGTAAATAACAAGCAGTGACTTGCAGCATATATACTTTTAACAAGTAATCGCCCCTTAACAAGTAGTGAACTTTGCACCATACTTTTAAAAAGCAGCAGATTTTTAACAAGCAATACATTTTATGTAGCAAACTTTTTTTAGAACTCTTCTACTAATTTACCTGAAGATCTTTTCAATCAAAATAAACTCTTACCAAACTTTAAATAATATTTATATCACCACAACTAGGAATGACAATGGGTCGCGTGTGGGTCGGGAAGGACTACATCCATCACCCGACCCACCTTATATTTTCTCCACCCATCCTCACCCCCAACTTGCATCGGGTGGACTTTTTCAAAATTCACCCCACCCCATCAGGTGCGTGTGCCCACTACGGGTACCCGGCCACCACTTATAATCTTATTATTATTTTTTCAAAAAAAATATTTAAATTACCTACACATAATAAAATAATAAAATTCATTAATTATATAAAACATAAAATAATATAAATATTTAAATATAATAACTAAATTGTTAATTTTTAAAAATAAACTTAGTAGTTTTTATGTAAAAATAGTAAAAGTTTACATGAAGTTATAAAAACTTTTATAAATAACTACATGGTGGGTCGGGTATGGTCCTAAGCGGGTTTTGTACATAGAACTCGAATCCAACCCGACCCACTGTGGGTTTACTTTTTTAAGACCCACCCTGATCTACCATCCACTACCACCCAAAAAAAACCGATCCATGCGGGGTGGATTCGGGTGGATATCCACGCGGCGGATTGAAATTGCCATCCCTGTCCATAACACCAAATATTATTTATATTATTTACTTTAATTTTCAATGCTCAATGATACTGTAATTTAGATCATGATATGAGTTTAGAGGTTTACTACAAAATAAGTGATTAGGAGATGAGAATGTACTGATTATATAACTTTAGGGTGATTGGTGAGAGGTAGAGCAATCCAACTAGTTTGCAGTACAAATGTGATCGAGTATAGAGAGTAGTATGTATAGTAGAAGAAGATGGATCCAAACAATATGCTAGTGAAGCTAAGCCTCTTAGCCAGAGCCATGATGGATCATAGCAAGTGAATTTAACATGACATACTTTGATTAGTGAAGTTAAGCCTTTTGGCCAGAGTCATGACGAGTTATAACAAGTGAGCTTAATGTGATCGACATGCTTGGATTGACAGAGACCAGTGATCAATCAGTTAATGGGACAACCTATTCCGCAGGCATGACAATCCCCACAACGAAGTATCATATTAGTTAGTTAGATGTAGGCTGTAGCGCATGCCATCCTCCCAATCTCCTCTCGTTGGCTGGACAACTTAGTATACCTGTCCACAGGTTCGTTCCTTTAGACCTATTGTTTGGATTATTTAGTTTGTCGTTTAACCTCATCACTCACACATTTTTTTTTTTTTTTTTAAAAATGAAATGCAACAAAAGAAATGATGAACATTCACATTAGTTTAGGGATCAAGATCATCATCTTACAAATATATTAATATCATATCATTGCATATGGCCAGGGACAGAGCCAAAAATTCTATTGAGGGGCGAAGAAGTAGGGATTGATTTAGAATTTTTTTTTTTAGTAAAGGCGAAACATTAAAACAAAAGAGATAATTTAAAAAAATAAATAAATTACCTAAGAAATATAGTTGTAAATATTGTTGGATATCGATAAAAAAAATAAAACACATCGAAACTTTATAAAAATATTAATAACAAAATATGGAACATAATTAATTTGATAAAATCATGGTTGCAAAAATCGCGCCTAGACGCCGATTAACCTAGGCGCTAGGCAGCCGCGAGGGCGGCCGGAATCGGCCTCCTCCGCGGCCGGCCGGTTCAACCGTTTTTTTTATTTTTTTTTTATTTTTATTTTTATTTTTGTTTTAAAGTGTTAAAAGTTCGGGAATGCATAACTTTTGACTTGGTTGTCCGTTTTGGACAATTTTTTTTTAAATCGTGTATTTTTTCGAGATCTATACACCGCAAATTGTCAAAGTCGGTTTGGCCCTCTAATTTCTCCAAAAAATGCATCTTTTGCTCTTAATTTTAATTTTTTTATGTATTTAGATGGTTTCAACAATATTCAAAACGATTTTACAGCCACTTATGTAAATAATTTGTAAGAAAAAACTAGAGGAACCTTATGTTTTATTAGTGAATTTCATAATTTTTAATTTTATTTTTTTTTTAAAAAATAATAATAATAATAATAAAAATTTAAAAAAATAAAAAATAAATCGGCGCTAGGCGCCCCTTTGGCGCCTTGGGGGCGCTTAACATTTTTTGTAACCTTGGATAAAATAATTTGAATAGAAAACACATTATAAATTACACATCTTATTATTAATATAAAAGAATGTTATGTGTGTATGTGTGTGTGTGTGTGTTAAATATTAAAAACGTATGAGACAAATATGTGCTCTACCAACTAACCTAACTCATGTCTTATTGACATTCAACAATTTTTTTATACTAATACTAAAACTTGTACTATATATACATATATACATACAAAAGTTATGTATGGGGTGGGGGGCAGCTGCCCCCCTGCCCCCACCCCTTTAGCTCCGTCCCTGCATATGGCATAACATAAAATAAAATTAATCAATCGAGTCTCGATTGGGCTCATTCAAAACAACTCTCAAGGTAATTAATAGTTATTGCGTGGACCACAGTTCAAATATGACGTCGTTTCGCGCAAATTTTTTTATGCAACCCACTGCCACATACATTTTTATAACGCATAATGTACATTATTCTAAAGTAGCATA